GCTTCTGGGGGTGGAAGCTCTCCTGCAGCCCCCCGATTGCCCCCTCTCCCCAGATGGCAGCCTGCGGCAAGTGCAGCCGGGCTGATGGCCGAGTGGTGTGATGTGCCCAGTGTGGGTACTCCGGGCAATCCAAGCCAGGACTGCTTTGCAAGCGGGGCACCCTTTAGAACTGTCTGTCCGGGGTGGGGGTCGGGACCCTTTAAGCACAGCCCTCGGCTAGCCTGAGACAGCATCTCCACGCTCTAAGTCCTCTGATGCCCTGCCGGCACTGCTTCCGGCCATCCTTAAGCCCTGTTCAGGGTCCACTTAATGTGGACTTGCTAGTTCGAATTAGCAAAACGCTAATTCGAACTAATTTTTAGTTCTAGACGTGTTAGTTCGAATTAGCTTAGTTCGAATTAACTAATTCGAACTAAGTTAGTTCGAACTAGCGCTGTAGTGTAGACATACCCTGAGAGCCCACATGATGGGACAGCTGCAGACCCTAGGGGTGCATCTACACGGCAACATTATTTTGGAATAGCGGACGTTATTCTGAAATAACTTTGAGAGCATCTGCACAGCAATTCCTCTATTTCAAAATAATATTTAAGTAACGGGCAGCTTATTCCAGGTTCTGTAAACCTCATTGCACAAGGAATAACGCCTTCTGAAATAGCTATTTCAAAATAGCTGTAGTGTGGATGCTCCACTGCTGCTATTTTGAAATAACTACTCCCCAAGCCCATTCAAAGTAATTACTCTCCCATGCTTCCTAGGGCTCTAAATCGAGGTAACACGTCCACATTAGGGAAGCCTGCCACGGACTAATTTCGAGGCTTCCCTGTAGTGTAGACGTGCTATTTCGAAATAAGCTATTTTGGAGTATTTCGTCTGGAATAGTTTATTCCAAAATAAGCGTGCAGTGTAGATGTAGCCTGGTAGTCCAAGGGTATGACTACACGGCATTCTTCTTTCGAGAGAAGAATACAAATGCAGCTGAGTGAAATTGCAAATGAAGCGCGGATTTGAATTTCCCGCACTTCATTTGCATGATGGCATCCGGGCACTTTTTCGAAATATCCTATTTCGAAAGAACAAATGCAGTGTAGGCAGGGTTATTTCAAGAAAAAACCCTTCTTTCGAAATAATCCTTAAACCACATTTTTTAAGGAGTCAGGGTTATTTAGAAAGAAGAGTTTTTTCTCAAAATAACCCCATCTACACAGCATCTGTTCTTTCGAAATAGAGTATTTTGAAAAAGCGCCCAGACGTCATTATGCAAATGAAGCACAGGAAATTCAAATCTGCGCTTTATTTGCAATTTTGCTCGGCTGTATTTGCATTCCTCTCTTGAAAGAGGAATACAATGTAGACATACCCCAAGGGTCCCAAATTCTCAGGTGGTATTCAGAGCAAGGCCAATGGCTCCTGAAAACCCAGGCTCCTCAGCAGTCTTCCAGCAGAGCTGGCAAGAAAGCAGGTTTTGTCAGAAATTAATTGAAATTGAAACTACAATAATTTGTGGAAGTGTAACAATGAACCATCATTTTATGATAAATTGTTTAGTTTGAAAATTTTCTACTAGTCATGGCCAGATGAGGATGTCACACTAGTTATGCTTCTCCATCCATACCTTTAGTATGGAAAGGCCTTTTTCAGGTTCTGATGGATCCCAGTGACAGTCCTATTTTGGGGGTTCTAAATGTGTAAACCAATCACTGTCTTGTCACATACAGAGCATGGCTCCTGAGGATAGTGCAAGTAGCTGTTACTAATTGAGATACAAAATAAGTAATTATAAAGTGATTAGCAGGAAGTTTGCTAAAAAACCTGTGGGTCCCCTAGATGATCGAGCTATAAAAGGAGCAATCAAGGACGATAAAGCCATTGCAGAGAAACTAAATGATTTCTTTGCTTCAGTCTTCACGGCTGAGGACGTTGGGGAGATTCCTGAATCTGCACCGTCCTTTCTGGGTGATGAATCTGAGGAACTGTCCCGCATTGAAGTGTCATTAGAGGACGTTTTGGAACAAATAGAAAAACTTAATGTTAACAAATCTCCGGGACCGGATGGCATTCATCCAAGGGTTCTAAAAGAACTAAAACGGGAAATTGCTGAGCTATTATCTGTGGTTTGTAACCTATCCTTTAAATCCTGTGCCGCCAAATAGCTGATCCACACAGCACGGCAGCCATTTTGATGTAAATGAAGTGGCGATTATTTAAATCGCTGCTTCATTTTCCTATGTCTCATAATCTAGTCTACATGGCTCCATCGACAGAGCCATGTAGTCTAGACGTACGCTAGTTTAAGGATCCCAGCAGGGCTCTAAGGTGATTTGAGGTGCCATGCATCTCCTGGTCGTTAGGCCATAGGCAGCTTTGCCCATACCCCATGGCAGAAATGGAGTCACCTAGGGGATTCAGGTGCCTACAGGGTTAGGAGGCCATTGAACAGAGGTTTTGAGAATCTACATTTTGGGTTTAGGCTATGAAAGTGGTAGTAAGCCAACTAAATCCCTCTGTAAAGCTAACCCCGGCTAACTAGTGGCCTTTGGACCAGGCCCATGCTGTCCCTGAGGCACAGAGGGAGGGTGCAAAGTAGAATAAAAGGCAGGATGTGGAGAAAGAGAGAAAAGGAGAGAGAATTTCTCCCACTTCCCTACTACCTTCTGTTCCCAACAGGGTGGCTTTGGGTCCTGCTAAGTAACTTCATTGGCTTTTCATTTCTTTGCCTTGTCCCTCCCCTCACATCCATCCATCGCCACTGATCCATGAGGGGAGGCAAGGATTAAGGAACAGGGGAGACTTCTCTGAGTAACTAATCTCCAGAGTGTCTTCTTTTCCAGTCCTACATTTAGCAAGTGCCTCTACATCAATTATTCATTTCTTTTAGTGATGTGAGAACTGCCCTCCCCACATACCTTGCCAATATCTTCTTCATGACTATTAATTTTTCAGGACCCTCCTCCAATCCTTTAAGCAGTGCTCTCCCCTCAGAGTAATGGGACTGCTTGCTAATGACAGGTTTTCATCTCCTCACCAGTGCCTGCGTTGCTCAACAAATGCAGTCAACCAGCAAGATAAGTCCCCTGACAGGAGAGTATTATTCTCCCTATGCATTTACAATCAGCCTTCAGGACACAGAGAGAGTTGTTGTTTAGAGGTCATTCATTTTTTAGGTGTATACTTACGTTTTCAAGCGTGCCTAGTACATTGTCCAGGTACTCCACACACACTGATGTGTCTTTTCTCATGTGTTTCAACTGTAAGCTCTTTGGATCAGGGACCTGTGGAACTCCTTGCCAGAAGATGCTGTGAAGGCTAGGACTATAATAGAGTTTAAAGAGAAGCTAGATAATTTCATGGAGGTTAGGTCCATAAAAGGCTATTAGCCAGGGGATAAAATGGTGTCCTTGGCCTCTGTCTTTCAGAGGCTGGAGAGGGATAGCAGGAGACAAATCGCTTGATCGTTGTCTTCGGTCCACCCTCTCTGGGGCACCTGGTGCTGGCCACTGTCGGTAGACAGGATACTGGGCTAGATGGACCTTTGGTCTGACCCAGTACGGCCGTTCTTATGTTCTTATATTACATCAATTGCTTTACCCAAACAAGGTACCATAACCTTTTCAAAAACACTAGTTAAAATAAAAGTTGAATGTCTTAAAAGAAGTAAGTACATATAAATTATAATGGGGAAGTCACTTTTCAACCCCAGTAAAATTATTATAACTTCCCAACATAGGAGATTCAATTCCTTTGCTCCCTACCTGAAATAATCTGCTTCTTTATCTCTGTCTGTAATTCATTCATTTATTTTTGCCACGGTTTTACCTGGCACAGTTAGCCCATCTTTAGACAAACTGCATCTAGTTGGCCACATTTAATGCATTAAAATGTATTTTCAGAGAATATCAGCAAAGCAGCCAGGATACTTATCAGCTGCAAATGTTATAGATTGAGCCCTGGCAATGAGCTCATCCCAGAGTTTGTCCCCACATATTGCTGGCAGGTCAGAGCGAGAGCTTTCATTCCACTGCATACTTCTTCTCTCCCTTCTATTTTCCTTCCACTAAAGAGGCAACTAGCAGTCTTTCCTTCGAGCTCCTCAAGGATAGCACGTAACTGAGAGGAAAATGAACAGAGGAAAATGATCTAGGTCTGAACACAAAATGTATAAATGCTTGTCAGCCTTTTATATTTTTAAACCAACTTCCAAAATGCCTGATAAATCTGTTTACTTTACCTGCAGGAGTCACTCTCTATTGGCTTGTTGCCATTAAACCAAACACAACTCACTATGAAAACTGCAGTATGCTGCCTCCTGGGTTAGGAAGAATCTTCTTAAAGGTAACAGCTACCAATGTGCCATGAGGAATGTATGTGAGAAGGCTTTTGAAAGAATTAAAATAGGATGCCTATTCTCAGGATACTTTTCTTTAAAACGCTAAACTACACATGCGTCATACCACTTGGATAATGGATTAGATGACCTTGTAGTTTTTTTTCAGTCTCACAGTTCATCAAGATAGACATCTAGCTTATAAGCATGTGGGTAGCCCTGTTGGCTTCTAAAGGATGACTCAAATACTTAACATTGGCCACATACTAAAGTAGCTGAATCGGGGCCTTTGTGATCTCCATAGCTGTGTTTAGGCATTATTGAAAGTAAAAGTTGTATGTGTCTAAACAATAATAGCACATAACACTGAAAAAGTGAATCACAGGGCCCCAGACAACCTATAGGACAAATCCTGGAGTCCGTGCTCAGTTTGTATTCACATCCTAGTCAGGCAAAACTCCTATTGTCAGGTGAAGACTTCAGAGTGGATTGGCTTCTATTTATGTACCTAAGAGTCATTTCATCCCTCACTGAATTGCTCCTATAACCCACTGTTAAGTGCCTGGCCCATCAGCTTCGTACAGTTATCAGGATATCAGCTTTGTACAATTACCAGCAAAAAGGCTTGAGGTGTGATCCTCCAAAGGTTTATCCTTGTGCTCAGCTTTAGGCATGTGAGTAACTCAGTCAAGGGGAATATTCATGTGTTTAAATTCAAACTTGTTAATAAGTCTTTTCAGAATTGGGAGCATAAGTTCTCTGCTGCAAGACAGGCTTATGTTTAGCTACAGAAATTCTAGGTTCAGAAGTCAAAGATGGATATGGTGACAGTTGTTAAGCTGCCAACTCTTGAATACTCTGGGGCTGTGTTTAGACTGGCCAGTTTTTCTGGAAAATCAGCTGCTTTTCCGGAAAAACTTGCCAGCTGTCTACACTGGCCGCTTGAATTTCCACAAAAGCACTGACTTCCTACTGTAAGAAGTCAGTGCTTTTTGCGGAAATACTATGCTGCTCCCGTTCGGGCAAAAGTCCCTTTTGCGCAAAACTTTTGTGCAAAAGGGCCAGTGTAGACAGCTGAGATTTGTTTTCCGCAAAAAAAGCCCCGATTGCGAAAATGGCGATCGGGGCTTTTTTGCGGAAAAGCGTGTCTAGATTAGCCATGGACGCTTTTCCGCAAAAAGTGCTTTTGCGGAAAAGTGTCTGTGCCAATCTAGATGCTCTTTTCCGAAAATGCTTTTAACAGAAAACTTTTCCATTAAAAGCATTTGCGGAAAATCATGCCAGTCTAGACGTAGCCTGGCTGTTTTAAAGGTACCGCTATTCAACAATGGAAATTGGTAAGTGAGGAACACCATTTGCACTTGAAACCTCAGTGGCAATTTAGATAGGCAGAATGTAATTACCCACACTTGTGTTGCCCTAGGGACGTGGACAAGCAATTTAGAATAAAAGTGGCCAATGGTGTGGATATAAAAACGGGGAGAAGGAGTCCTTACACAGAAGAAAGATCCGACCTGAGAGCCGTATCTAATCACTGGTGGATCACTAACCACAAATCAGGCATACACAATTTTAGGGCCAAACCATGTATTTGAGTAGAATAGTGGAACAGATATACAGTTAACAGCAAGTTTCAACAAACCAACCCTCCCTAACACGAAGAAAGGAGATAGAACAGTTCCCTAGATACATAAGGTATATACAAAGCCTGAGGCCATCAATGCCTGCAACCTTCAACCCTCGGGCTATTTGTAAGCCTCTGGGGAGGACAAGCAGGGAGATCCCACGGTAGTGAGTCCTCTGTGAAGAGACAATCCCGATATGGATCCTCGATCTGGAAAGGAATCCCCTCTAGACACAGTCTGATCCGTCCTTCGACAACACCGTCTGATCCAGTAGGTGGGTAATCCAATGAAGATGATAGGAAAAGAGAGTCCCGGTTCCAGTGACCAATGCAAACAGGAAAACCTTGTGGGTATTTACCACACAAGGGTAGCACAGTTCAAAAGTCCAGGCCTCTGATTACATAGATGGTATCCAAGCTTCAGGCAAACAATACAGAGGAGCAACAAATGAGTAGATCCAAGGCTGGGGAATATCTAAGGACCTGAGCCCTTGATACCTCAGGGCTTTTATTGGCCCAGAGGCGGGAAAAGTATGCTAATGAACCTAGGTGTTGAGTGCAGCTTCCTAGGGGCTGTGTGCAGCGGTTTTGGTGCTGAGTGCACCAGATAGTAACGGGTGCCCAGCCTGTTTGAGAGGGGTGCACAAGGTAGTACCGTGTGCAAATTAACAGTTTGAGCGGGAAAACAAAAGGAACTGTCTCTTTCAAAATGGAACCCACTGAACCAAACTATAATATAGCCCCCTTTTCTAGGGTAACACTTGAATCTGTCCAGTGCATTGGATAGAGCATTCTCTGTTCTTCCATAAGTAGTGTGGAATGTTTAATGACCTCAAGTCAGGCCATATATTTTATTAGGGCTAGTTTAAAAGAGCTAGATAAATTCGTGGGAGGATAGGCCCATCAATGGCTACTAATCCAGGATGTGTAGGAATAATGTCTCTACTCTATGTTTGTCAGAAGCTGGGAATGGGCAGCAGGGGAAGGATCATTTGTTGATACATGTTCTGTTCATTGTCTTTGGGATACCTGGCATTGACCACTGACAGAAGACAGGATACTAGGCTAGATGAACCTTTGGTCTGACCCAGTATGGCTGTTCTTATGTTCTTAACATTGACTTAATGCAGCTTTGAAATGCTACAGTGAAGAAAAATGCTGTTTTTACCATCTTACTTTGAAAGAAACAAACAGAAACAGTTTCCTTGCCCTGTCAAATCTTTTTTTTTAACTTGTCCTTCATTTTTTGTAGTAGTTTACATTTTACACACTACTGTACTGTACAGTATTTTCTGTTTGTTTGTTTGTTTGTTTTAGCCTCTGCCTGATTCTTCACTTCTGGTGTGTGGTCGACTGGTCAGTTTGTAATTTTGGTGTTCTATTGTTTCTGGATTAATATATTTGAGTGATATGGATATGTTATATTTGTGTGAGAATCATAAATAACTTCACAGGTTTCATTCTGAAGTCTGAGTTATAACATTTCATTAGTGAAGGTTTGTGGTGGTGGTGGTGGGGAACATTGTTTCTTTGTTTTTAATACCAGAGAAAGCAGTTTTTGTGGCTGCACATCGAAAGGTACGCTCTGTGTTTGAAAGATGTGGATCCATTTGTCATTGTAATTTACATTCCTATTTTAGTTAATGTGAAGAGGGTAGTTCTGAAAGCCAAAATTTGCTTTGTACAATTTGATCAGGCCCTGTGACTGCTCAGTCCTATGCTAACTCAGTCAGCCAACAGCTTGCCTGACTGGGATCACAACAAAACCAGGGAGGCACTAAAAACAGATAGTGAGGAAGCTTAAGATTAAAATAATGCTTCACACCTAATAGGTACAGTTATTTTTAATCACTTTGAGGCAGAATTTTGGAGGGAAATGATTTCCTGGTGTGAATTATAGTACTGTATAACATCAGCTCTGATTTAGACATGGTGAAAATTGGGTTTAAAATGAATGCAGAGGAACAATCAACTGTGTGAGATGTGGCTCCCATCTGTCTGGTGTTCAAGGCACAAAAGGGGGATCAGTGCTCAGACGGATAGACTCCAACCAGTGCAGCCATTTTTCTAACAGCTTGTTCTGTAAATGACACCATTGGATGGTTCAAGCCATGCACTGGTAGGCTCAGTAATTGAGATGCAAAGGTGCCATGGGGAAAGCATTAATGAGGCTACACAGGTGAAATACCCATTGGATTTTCTCTTTGTTCATTAGCCAGTTATCATTATCTGTTTGCAAAGGAGAAAAACAGAGGAACATTTTTCCTTATTCCAAAAATCTGGATGTAATAACAAGTGAGTTTTTGTTCCCTGGGAACAAAGAAATAAGAAGAACGATGGCAATCTGTGTTGGTACAATGACTAGGATCATTGTTATTTCTGTCTTCATTCTCTGGACAGCCACAGGTCAAGGGAAAGGAAATGTCTTTACAGGTGAGTAATACACAATGAATCTGAGAAATGGTAGGTATTTTAGTATGAATGTGATGAGATGCCTCTTTATTCTAAATGGATCAGTGATTGTTGCTGCTCTACAGAAACCCAGCTGTGTATCATTGATCACATAAGACTCCACCAATTTATAAAAAAAAAACCCTGCCATTTCCCTTTTGCTTGGAAAGAGAGGCTGGACTGCAGCTTATACTCAGTAATGTACAGAATTTGATGAAAAATCCTTTTCTTTATAGAGTAATATATACAAATAAAAATGAGCAAACTTCTCAAGATGTAGAAAGGGCCAAAGGCAAGGGTGCAGATGGCACATCTTTCACTCTTGCCTTCAGTTTTCAGATGTGCAAAGGAATAATCCAAAAAAGTAACCACCCACATTTCTGGCTTTGGAGCATTAGCATTAATTCCGAACCTAGTCTTAATTTCTAGACTACTTCAATTTATTTAAATCTCAACTACTTTTAATTTTTGACTAGGATTTTGTTGTTGTTTTTTTAATTGCCTCAGTGGCTTTGAAAATTTCAGTCAAAATATATAACCCATTTCTTAAAGATGGGCTTTTCTCAATGACCCTACCAAAGCCCCTATATTTTAAAAAGGTCCTCTGCAGAATGGGGGAAAGGCAGAAGGCACATTAATTTTCCTGTGCTTGCTTATAAAAAGGCTAAGTTTCTGAGATATGAAAGCTTAGAAAACAAAACCTTTAATTCAATTTTTTTCAAATTTTGGAAGACAGAGCAGTTCTTTGAACCCCTTAGATGAGGATCCACCACAATGGCTTTAATTCTAGATCACATCAAAGCAAGTAGGGGCTTTGTCTCTGGTTTGCGTTTTGATTTAATGTCAAGCATTCTTGCAAATTTCAGGCCAGCATGACAGCAGTTGATCGTGAGAAATGTTCATATGTTGGTATGAAAATCTAGCATGAATGGTATTTGTCACTGCAACATTTGATTATTATCCCATATACAAAGCCAGATTTGGTCTTGACCTTGAAATCAAATCACAGCCCACTCCTAATTCAGAATCTGAGCTGAATATTGCTGACTTCTTATAATAACATAGTCACTTAGGTGCTTTTGTGGTTGTTGTTTTAGTATAATAGCATATGTACTTTCCCTGCCTGTGCTTGTGATTACTAAGATGAAAACTGAAATGTTCAAAGATGAGAGACCTAACCTAACAGAAGTAACTTCATATGATTATCTTCTTGTTGCTTTACTAAGTAAATTCAGTTGCAAATTGGTGGAGACATGTACAATACACTTTCATTCCTTGCTGATTAGAAGCTAATGAGCAGAGAATGCCAATTTGCTGAACAGACCAACTTATGCTAAGTCACAGTGCTCAGAAAAAACTGCTGTCCCCAGAGAACCACGCTCTCATGGTAACACATCTTATTTTAAATTAGCCTGCACTCTGGGCTTGAACTAGCTTCTGAGAAGAAGCTGGACCTGTGCTCACTTCTGTTAGCTTTGGTTCAGTTGTTCTGGGAATGTATCTTTCTACACTCTCAAGGGAATCTCTCAAACCTGCTTTCTTGGTTTTCTCATTCATCCTGTGCCTAGTGAAATAACCATAACATTACATTGCATACGTCTGGCTTGACATCAGTGCTTTTCAATGATATATTTAAACTTAGTTTTCACACCTCTGTACCACTTTACTTTTTAGATTTCATATCAATATATATATTGAATGTTGCTACAAATCCTGAGTTGGTTCCAGTTGCCCTGGAAGCTTTAGATTTTTCTTTTCAGCTCTGGATGTGACGAGGGTGTGTTACATGTATCTTTAATCTTCCTCGTATCTCATTGTGCTGTGCTGTTCAGGGTCTCATACCACATTCTTTGCAGTATTATCTGAGCAGTGTTGTCGTGACAATGAGAGTGATGGGGGCATGCAGAACAGCCCACACAATCTTAACAGTTGAAGTTGTAACACTGCAATTCTCAAATACCACAATTTTGATCTCTGAAACTAAGGAACAGACTCTGTGTAGATGTATGGCCCCTTCTATCCTGGTAAAATCTGAATGCTTTGTAATTTATGCTTCTAGCACCCTAGACAGGCAACATTATCTCTGTTTTACCACTGGAGAACTGAAGCAGAGAGAGAAATATTGAAAGAATTGCTCAGACACACAAGTGGTCTGTGACCAGATCCTCCACTGATGCAAGTAGGAGCACCATTGAATTCTGTGAAGCTATACAGCCTTACACCAGCTAAGGAGCTGTCCCTCAGTTCCAGTTTTCAAATAGACCTCTTAAAATGCCACCACAAGATTTTCAATTAAACATATATATGCGCACAAATACAGGGTACTGTTTGCTTACAAATGATAAAAACTTGATTTTGGGGAAGCAATGTTTGGAAATGTGATGTATAAATATCGGCACCTAAAATTTTTACACCGGATTATTTTACCTGGTTTTGGTCATGTCTGAATCATTCATACTGTACATATTTTGATCACATGCATCTCTTGCATATTGTGTTAGCTTCATTCTGTCTGTCTTGCTGACCCCAGTGCTCCAAGAACCTTGAAACATGATAGTTTCACTGCACTTAGATTTCAGTGTTTACTTTACATTTAATTTATTTAAAACCTCTTCCATTTTTTCCTGTGTCCAAAGTTATACCAATATAGATGTGTTTATCTAATTATTATTTTCACTCTTCCAAATGCCACCACTCCAATTTTTATAAAATTTCAAGAAGTCATGTTGTCTGTCATATGAGCCTTAATACAATTACTTACACTTTTATGCTAATTAAATACTATATTTAATTTGACTTGCTAGTCCCTCTTTTTTTAAAGCTCCCTCTTGACACTTTTACTTTGTTGCATGTAATTGGGATTCACCTCTTAAACTTTTTCAGATAAGTCAGTTGATTTCATTATCAAATTAAATCTTAGAATGTTTAAAACTGTTTTCTTGTCAATCTGTAATAAATCTGTTAAACTCTGGTCCCATTGACTCTGTTTCACTGTGTTATTAAGGAAAGCTTGTCATGACCTGCACTTTGTCTCTTTCTGAATCCCTTGTCAAATGTAGTCCCATCAACAACCCCTCCCCCCCCCATTAATGCAAGTTCACCTTTTTTGTTTTCCTTCTACAGCAGGCCTATTTTAAGATTTTGAAGATGACACATAAGATCAAGTCATGGTCTAATTTACAGAGACCTGAGGCTTAATTTAGACATGCCTTTACGAAGGCCAGTTTAACCCTACTAAATCTAACCTCATCTAAACTGATTCAAGGTCTCAAAAGATATAGGGTTAGTTTTTCAGTCTTTATGTAAATTGGCATAGCTTCACTGAAATCAACAGAGCTCTGCAAATTTGTAACAGCTGAGGTCTAGTCCATGTGATTTACATTGACGATCCACTAAATAATTAGAAGGGCAAAGTAGAAACTCCAGTGACAAAGTCTTCTGGGAATGCTTGTCCTCTGAATAATCTCTTCAAATGTTGTGGGGGTTACCATGCTCTTGTCTTCTAGTATATCTATGCAAGGATGTTGCTCAGGCACTGAAAATAAGATAGGATGAAGCACACAAAAGAGAAAAAAACCCTAATAAGCTTATCTCACCTCTGATTTCTATGTTTCCAGACACTTTGAGCTCTGTATTTTTTCTCAGAAAATCATAGAAGTGCCAAGTTCCTTACCGCACATGTGAATTTCAGACTAATTTTGCTAATATTCACAACATTTATCTAAATTAAATTGCCATTGTCCTACCCAGTGCCTCAAGTTATTTCTGTTTATCTGGAGCTTCTCACAAACCGTGGGAGATTTTACTAACCAAAACAACTCCCACTACTAATTGCCATCAGAAAACTTCACAGGTCTGCTTTCTCTGGTAATTTTTCCCATAATATCGGTTTTTCATTCATTAAATGGCTCTATTTTCCTGTCTCATAATCTGGTTTATATCTAAATATTAAAGGAAAATCATTCTGTGTACTAGCAGCTAACCTTGTTTTTCTCATTTTTATTTCTTAGAAAAAGGCCTCTCCTTGGTAGGCTATCATCTGTGCAACTATAGTGTGACTAAAACAGTGTCTAAAATGGTTGCCTACCAAAAGTCATATGAGAAAAATACTTCTTGTGGAGGATGGATTCCATGGATGGTTTGTCCTAAGATGTCTTATAAAACTCAGTATCGCATCATTGAAGTCCCTGAGATTATGAATTTTACTGATTGCTGTGAAGGGTATGAACAAGTTGGGCTCTATTGCGCTTTATGTAAGTATTAGTCAGAGTAATGATTTGAACAAATCTTCCTTTTGTTAGGTGATTTACTATAGATTTTAGAAGTGTAGCCATGTTAGTCTGTTTTAGCAAAATCCACAAGGAACCCTGTGGCACTTCAAAAACAAATTTATTTTGGGCATAAGATTTTTTGGGCTAGAACTCACTTCATCAGAAGCCTGAAATAGAAACTTCAGTTTGGCAGGGTATATTCCATATATTCCTATATTTCATGCATCTGACAAAATGGTTCTAGCCCACAAAAGCTTATGCACAAATAAATCTGTTAGTCTTTAAGGCACCACAGGACTCCTCATTGTTTTTGTTGTAGATTTCGACTCAAAAGGCCAAGTTCACTGCTGGTGTCAATCTGTTGAAATTGGCATAGGTCATTGGTAAAATTGGTTCAAAATGCCCATTTGGGAAATGCATTACTTTGCTGCTCTTAGGTTGATCCCCATTAGTAGAGCAGTGTGGAATAGCTTACACAGTCATTTCCTGGTGCTGTTGTCTGCTTTGTGGATGACTTTGTTTTACAGGGCTATCAGTTATAGATGCTGGAGCCATTCCTGTTTAATTTTATAAGTATTTATATTAATATTAGCTGAGTTTGGAGCCAGGGCAGTTCATGGCCATGTTTATTCAAGCTATGCTTTAATTTTGAGTTCAAATGAAGCTAAAAGTTCAAAGGAAAACTTATGCAATGGTTCCTGATATCATGACTTCTTTGTGAATCTACAAGCTGTCCCAGGTATGCCTGAAAAGATAGAAAATGCAGTGAACTTTTCACTGAATCTGATCTGAGTTTCTGGTTTATAACAAAGCTCCAACTCTGGTAAGTTTCACCAGCCCTCAGACCATATTGTACATGGCTGCTTGTTGTCAACCATACATTCACAATTATAAAGCTTCTGAAGGTTACAGATGCACTGAGTTCCTTAGGGACAGTGGGTGAGATTTTCAAAAGTACTTAAAGGTATGACTACATTGCAGCTTCTTCTTGGGCAGACTGATGCACACTAGCAGGACTTGAGCAAGTGTGCTAAAAATAGCGGTGCAGACTTTGTAGCATAGGCTAGCTACCTCAGTATGACCCGAAGTGTCAGGTTTGGCTTTTACTCATGTGGCTAGCTGAACCCAAAGCGCATGCCACAACATACACACTGCTGTTTTTAGCACGTTAAATCAAAGAGAGAGAAACTACATCTGTCTAGCCGGGCAAGGAGGCACCCTCCTGCCTGCAGTGTAGACATCGTGGCTGTGTCTAGACTGGCCAGTTTTTCCGGAAAATCAGCCGTTTTTCCGGAAAAACTTGCCAGCTGTCTACACTGGCCGCTTGAATTTCCGCAAAAGCACTGACGATCTCATGTAAGATTGTAAGTGTTGCGGAAATACTATGCTGCTCCCGTTCGGGCAAAAGTCCTTTTGCGCAAAACTTTTGTGCAAAAGGGCAGTGTAGACAGCTGAGATTTGTTTTCCACAAAAAAGCCCCGATCGCGAAAGTGCTTTTGCGGAAAAGCATCCGTGCCAATCTAGATGCTCTTTTCCGAAAATGCTTTTAACGGAAAACTTTTCCGTTAAAAGCATTTCCGGAAAATCATGCCAGTCTAGACGTAGCCTGTGAGTTGAGAGCACAAGTACTATCATTGACTTTCAGTGAGACTTTGAAGACACAAGAAATAACTGGTATAAACTAAGGTGTGACTTTTTATATAGTTAAACAAGTGCAGAAGTTTGTACAGGTGCTAATTTTGATATAAAAGTGACTTATTTAATTTTAATTAACCTATTCCTACTTGACTTTAGTTTAACTAAACTGAAATAAGCCACTTGCACACTGAAATGTGTGTGAAATTTGTACTGGTTTAACTAGATTAATTAAAAAGATGATTCAGGTTATACTAAGGCATCTTTATTGTGTACACTAGCCTTTATGCTCCAAGTCACTTAGGTGCTTTTGAAAATCTATTCCATAATATCATCAATTGGAATTTGCAAACAGATTATGCAAGTTGTTAATCATTTATTGTTTATTAAATCACACTTTGGCAATACAAGATTTCAGATGAAATGACTAGAAGATACAAGTAATCTCTTTGTTAAACGATCTTTTTCTCAAAATAGTCTAAAATTTTAAATAAAGCATAGTGAGACACAAATTCTGCCTTGACTTATTCCTTCATGCAGTTCTGTTGACTTCAGTGGTTTGCACAGGGTGTAAAGCTAAGCAGAACTGACCACAGACTGTAATATTTCCAGACAGTATCTTCATGGTGGAAAACTACTGTTGATTATGCAAAATTTCCAGGCAGTAGCTTCAGGTTGGTGGAAAACTACTGTAGATCAAATCCCTCCTTCAATATCCAATTCCACAGTGTACAAAACAAAATTAACCAAATAATGGCAAGGCTGAGTAGCAGTCAGTGATTGTTTTATATGAATAATAAAAATCAATTTTGACCAAGTTTTGGAAGAGTGATTTTTGGATACTTCACTTACCAGTGGATGCTCGACGTTTCAAAAAATCAAGCACTTTTAAAGAGCCTCAGTTGGACAATCAAAAGTTTAGGCACCAGTCTCTCTTGAAAAATGTTGTCCTTTGTAATCAGTGTATATTTTTAAAACAAAAAGCTGCTTTAACTAACAGTTAAGATGGAGCAGTGTTAATGCACACAACATCTACCATGATGAACATAATTTTAAAAACAAAACCAGTATTAAAAATATGGAAACGTCCTGCAATGGTTAGTTATATAATTCTCAAATAGCACTTTAATTAGCACTATGCCATTAATTAGTACACCTAAACTCTGGCACTGTTTGGTTATGGCATGCTTATAATTTTGATTACTGTTTTAAAAGTTATTGTGGGAGTACTTTAAACAACTAAACAGTTTGCATAGTTTCTATATGATTTCTGGCATTAGATTCAGGCACCTTACAGAGCTTTTCAGGACATTAATCATAAATTCTATGAATGATAATGTGCTGTCTAGACAGAGTCTTAAATAAGTAATGAAAGGAAGACATTTGGAACTGCTGGAATTATTGCACTGCATACCTTTGCACTATTGCTTCCCCCCATCCCCGATGTTATCCACAGTGGCTTTCTCTGTGTGCTTAGGCTTGAAGTACAACCTATTCCTAGCTGTTTTTCCACCTTTTATTTTTTAGAAGCAATCATGTCCCTCTGACTGGGAAGGCAGGCTTAGTGGCTTTCCCTGCTTCTACGTTTAACATTTGGGTGGAGGACAAGGTTAGGAGTACATGACTGGAATGGTTTCTTCTAATGTCAGTTGCACTTTTATGACAATATTGTACACCCATCAAATATGTTAAAAGAACACTAATATGGTTGTAAAGTCAAGCATTCAAAAGTTAGGAAATGCCACAATTAAAGTTTCTTGTGCAGTCTATGTTTGGCTCCCTGATGTATATGAATTATAAATATTATTCCATGATCACTTACTATTCTTTTCCACAGAATCCCTGCCTTATTTATTAGACAGGATGGACCTGTTTTGGTGAAGAATCAGGGCAATGTGGTAAAAGAAACTATTATCTATTGGCTTGTGCTTTATTTGTTATAGAAGTTGGAAGGTATTAATGAGACTGGGGACTGCGTGAAGAAAAAGGATAGTTTCATGGTTAATACAGGTGAATGCTGCCCTGAAAAAATGGATTCGGTCCCTTCCACTGCTGCAGAGATCCTATGAGATGATGAGCAAGTCACTTAATCCAGACTTTTCAAAGATGGTCACTTACAGTGTGTTCCTTACTTTCTGGGTGCTTAATTTGAGACCCTGGGGTCTGATTTACAGAAGATCTGAGGACCCACAGCTGTAACTCAGTGGAAGCTGCATTTGACCATAAGAAGTGCTGCCTAACACTATTTACTCTGAAAAATCAGGTCCCAGGCATCTCAAATCAAACACTCAAAACTAGTGGATACTTTTGACCTTAATAGCGCTGTGATATAAGTTCCCCATTCGTGAAATGTAAATATTAACGTCCTCCCTTACATGGGTGTTGTGAAAGGAAATGAATTAATATTTGTGATGAACTCAGCTATTGCAATGAAAGACATAGAAAGGTCCCTGAGGAAATCAGTAGTTCTGTCTTCAGAGCAGAATGTAAATAACATGCAGCAAATAAGTCATACACTGAACAATTAGAACAAAATATGGAACAGCTGCTCATTGAGTGAGCACTGTCCACTCGGAGAGACTGAAGCATGGGTCCTGTGGACAAATAGTATATGATAATGTAATTAAAGACTGTATCATAATAGAAAACTATGCACAAAGGGGTCACATTAAGATTACACAAACTTTCCGACTTTTCAGATTGCAGAAGACTTTCAGCTCTTTAGCTCCCAGTTCCAGGCTCCTTACTCAGCCAGAACCATTCCCCATCCTCAGTCTCCTGTCCCTTTCCCGACCTCCCCCAAACTCTAATTCTAGTTCCATCCAAGGCGTTCTATCCTAATCTTCCTGTATTCTGGTCTGGCTCTTGTCCCTCTGGATTTGCATCAGGCAGCCTTCTCCTTCATGCTGCTTAGAGGACTGGGGTGGGGTGTCACTGAAAGCAGCAGGTAAAGCAGGAGGGCTAACCTGGCATGCTTGATAGCAGACCAGCGTAGCCTTATGCTGGCTGTGCTAACAGAATCTTCAGAAACACTAGCTGTGACTCTCTACAAGTCTCTACTGAACATGTACTGATGCGGTCTCGCATGACCTTATTATTAATAAACTAGGGAAATACAACCTAAATGGGGCTACTATAAGGTAGGTTCATAACTGGCTGGATAACCATTCTCAGAGAGTAGTGGGATTCTGCAGGGGTCAGTTTTGGGACCTGTTCTGTTCAATATCTTCATCAACGATTTAGATGATGGGCTAGAAAGTATACTTATAAAGTTTGCAGATGACACTATGGTGGGAGGGGTTATAAGTGCTTTGGAGAATAGGGTCATAATTCAAAATGATCTGGAG